CCCCAAAACCCCAAAACCCCAAAACCCCGTGCCATTAGTTGTAACTGAGATATTCGCATACAATGTTTGGAGAAGCGAGGGATTCGACCAATTTGGAAGATTATTAACGATGTTTGGAGAAATAGAGTCATAAAAGAAAATTTGGTGGAAAAGAGGATATTAGTTGAATTCTTCATTCAAAATGGATTAAGAGAAGGTTTTTAAGTACAAAATATTTACAAATAAAACATAACCTATACTAAATATAAAGCATTTCTGCTTTTGACGAAATTCTGAGGAGGAGACTCTTTTATTTCCTCAGGAAGAATTTGTTTCTGCTTGTTGACTACATTTGTAAACTTCTCAGGTATATCTCCAATAGGCTCAAGATAGATATTGATACTCCTTTTCACTCTTGGGTTTTCATCTCTATCAAAAAATGTGAGAAAATTAATCTTATTCTGGACAAGAAATTGAGCTATTCTTACTCTGGTTCATCCATTGATCGTGCTCTATTATTTCTACCAACAATCTGAGAGCCTGGAAACCTTCTCTTCAAAACTTTTGCTATAAGAATTTTGTTGTAAAGTCTTCATTCCCAAACAATTTCAGAAATTCTCTTGAGGTAGTTATGAAATCATCAATCATTCCTCTAACAGAAATAGACCCAATTTATGACTTACCTAACTTCACCACTGAAATTATTACATTAGCTGCATAGTTAGCTTGGAAAAGAGTAAGGTAGATTGCAACAACACTTGGTGGCCACTTTTCCTTGCTATACCCGAACAGTAAGAAGGCAATAAAGCAAATGTAAAACATCTCATTTATGATCTCAGCTAAATTATCAACCATGTTTGGGAATGGCTTCCACATGATAATGTAGAGGTTCTGGAGGTAATTGATGAACACGAAGATAATAATGAACACTAACATCTCAGTGTCTTTGAACCCTATCTGGTCAGATTATTAGCTTACATATCGCAACAATGCTTAAGCATGCACGGCGAAGTAGGAAAAGTATTGGGTAGAGTTGACATCCTTCAGTGTTCCTGAATCCACTAAAAATTTCATCCATTCATCTTGGAGCAATTCCTTTCATATGAAGAAGTGAGTTATAGAGCAGAACAATGAGGATCGAGACAATCACGATTAAAGTGAGGATTCATAGTACTAGTGATAGAGAGTTCTCATTGTAAACAGCCCTGGCTCTTGAAATCTCTGTGAAACAAGAGAGGCACAATAGCAAGAAAATTTCAAGAATGAACTTAAGATATCCATGAAATAATAAGAACTTAGCTACTTGCATTGCGAAAGAATTCATTAAATTTCATCTTGGAACATGCCTTCAACAAATACGCTGACAATTGAGAATGATATGGATCGTGACCATTATCATTATAACAGTGCAGCAGCCTGATATGTTTATAAAGCAACTCCCTGAATGTAAGCCAATAATATATACTGAATCATTAGGCTGTTCATATTCCAAAACTTGCTGTAGATTTCTGAGGAAATTCCATTTGAAATTCCCACTCAATAAGAAAGGATTGAGCAATTTTAAATAAGTCATCACCTCGATAGGGAGCTCAACAGGAGCTAGAAGTATCAATAAAGTCAGTTGGGTTTGGTTAATTGCTATAAAGACCGACTCTCGAGAGCTCGACTGTAGAAATGAAGTGATGATGTTGCATCACACGGATATTATTACTCACAAAATAGTAAGATAACTGAGCAGTTTAACAGTGGAAGAAGGCTCAGAATACTTCAGATTTAATTTTCACAGATCAGGTCCGGATTCAGTCACAAGCATTCAATTCCAATTTTCCTCTACTGTACTGCAGTCTTGAGAGCAACCATCTCCACTTACTTGGTTTGCATCATCTCATGCTTCGCCATCTTGCCTGATACCATCCCCACAAACAGCTTTAACTTGTTGAAGATTCCTATATCTTCACTTCGTACTGGAGAAATTACGTAATTTTCGAAGTTACAAAAATTTGGTAAATCATATAATAATTATCAAAGATACGTTTCTTTTTGACAAAAGTCTCCAATAAACTAACTGCACAATTACCGATGATTCCTGAATTGGTCTGAGAGATGTCTGACCGTATCCAAACTAGCATCTATGGGTTTAGATATCATGTCAGAACTATTCGTAGCATATTTTGGGAGTGAATTATTATATATGCTCTTTATAACATTGATCTTATCATTAAGCTGAGATGTAATACTTCCCACATCACTTTCAATCCTGGTCGATGTTCTATTATTGGGTGAAGTCCATGCTTGGAGGTGTGCTGGCTTCTTTATATAATCTATACTTCAAATTAGCTTCAAAAAGAATAAATCCTAGTCTTTTTCTTAAAATTAGACCTTCAAATGTTAATAAAAAATCTAATCAGAAGAGCATCGAATTTAAATTATTGGAGAAATATTTCGAAGATTCTACCAATCTTTGACAAAAAGTGACACATTGGCAATCAGCCAGTTAGATCATGCTTAGTTAATTGTTTAGATATTCCCAGTCAAGACTTCGGAGTTTATCCCAGTCCTAAACTTTCTTTTCTAAATTTAATATATTTTCGTATTTGAATCCTGAATTTAGAAAGAATGAAAATTAGGAATGAATCATAAAGCTAGCTTAAATCTTCTTCAAGAATTTTACTAAGGTAGAGTATTTATGGTATCTGTGAAGTCTCATCTGGTCTATTATGCCCTTCCTATCACTGAGAGCTCCAAATAAAAACCCGGAGAATTTGAAATTTTAGCAGTCAAAGAGAAAGCCGCTTATTAATCATCACAGGTCAGGAAAAAAGGATATGTATGTTTACAGAGCAACAATGCTACTTTGAGTTGAGATCTTAAATACTACCCATTGCTTTCTGTTATATGCTTGTTCAAGCTAAGGTACTCAATCATGCAAGCTAGTTTTTATATATTCTCCAGCAATAGATCATCTGAGAGGGGACTAATATGCTCAAGAAATAGTAAAATTAAGGATTCTAAACTGGATACAAGTTCCAGAAAATATCCAATTTTCGGCTATGCCAAAAGTTGAGCTGTAGCCCATTGTTTATGTATGAACTTATCAATAATAAGCCAAATCTTAGCAAAAATACCTCTTCTTCCTATTTTAGGTATCTCAGAAGGAAAAATCATTAGAGTCTCTTCTAATTTCCGGCTAGTTTCTCATATCCTGGTCGAATCAGAAATCAATAGAATTTTCGATTAATCCAGCTAGTCCTTCTTGGATCCAGTTTTCCGTCCAGAATGAAGACACAACGCTTCGTTTTCATCAGAAGAAGGTTTTAACAAAATTGGGGGAATTTTTAAAGAAAAGAAAAAATTAACTGCGGAGTCACAAATGTCAAATTTTCGTTAAAAGGGCAAAACGAAGGAATTTAGCCATCCATCGTTAGAAGCAAGGCTAGCTATGAGGCCAAACAGGAGGCACATATTTCATTGGTGAGCATAACTCTGGCAAGGTAAGGAATAGATTCTCCGAAAGTTGGGGTTAGGCTCTCATATTAACTGTTTTATTCAAATCTGTTTGAAATAACAGTCAATATCAGGTATTTGGTCGAATTAAGAACTCGCTTTTACCAAAAATAACATATTTATCAAATAGAACAAAGAGAAATACAGGAATTTAGCGAAACCCAAGAGTTGAAGAATAGAGGATCATTTTCATTAGAATTAAGGTCTTCATTGAAGAGTGAAAGAAACAGAAGTAGAGAGTACGATACATATATTCTTAGATTTCCATTCTGAAAGGTTATTTTATAGATAAGGGGATAGCAAGAGAGCATCATGAGCGACCTCTCCATCGTTTAGGTCGTACTACATTGGGCAGCTTTCTTAGTCTTATTCCGGGCAAAGGCTTAGGGATCTACTCATAAAGTATCATTTTTTAATATTTTACTCCAAAGAGCAACATGGGCTTCGAAATATTTTTGAAGAAGTCTACCTGCAAGTCTATCTCGTTCATGAAATAGCAGTGTGCTTGGATACTAAAGGTATAACTCTGAATTTAATCTCTTATGAAGGACTGACAGAAATTTACATAAATGCTTTTACCCAATGAGATCAAGAAAAGATAAACCCTTCTTGACTGTATAATTGAGACTTATGGCTGTTATCAAAATGGTTGGTTTAGTAATAAATCGGGCATCAGAGAGTAACTAGAGTTGGTGTTAGCAGTAAAACTTTTCGATAAGCTCCTCATGGCTTTAAAGATAAGAAATTTGTTCAAACTATCAATTTTAACAGTAAGCAGAATGAAATCTGATGTAGAAGCTACTTGGGCCGTAAGATTATTATGAGCATCCAATAAGACTAGAATAGGCATTAAATCCTTGATTTGGCTCTGAGACAAACTCAGAGTCGATATAAGATAATTTCAGAATTGATTAGATGGCTGAAAAAGTTCCATATTACAGATTCGTCGTAAAGTTCTTTCTGATTTCAATCTGATATCTTACCTGAAGATCAAAGCCAAACAAGGCTTGCTCCTAGGATGAGGAGTAAGATCGCAGAGTACAGGATCATTCTTGCTTTGTATCCTTGTCTGCCCTCTCCAAGAAGAGTTGTGGTTATAAAGCTATATGATGATTTCCACTCAAAAATAAAAAGAGTACCTTGGATGTACGTTACCACCGTTGCCTCTTTGACTTGCAACTAACTTCTTTCAAATTATTCCCTGCTCTAAGCCTTCTTCCTCATAATTCTCACAATTTCAGACTTGTGAAGCTTCGCCCCAAGATTTCATACTTTTGTGTATAAAAATTATGAATCAGTCGCTCACTGATGACTTGGGGTTTTGGGGTTTTGGGGTTTTGGGG